AAAAGAAAGCAAATGCATCTCATGATTATTTTATCCTACCACGCCACATTTTCCAAATCAAACCTCCTCCCTTCACTTATTTCATTAGTTTTTTTTTTTTGTTGTTCCGTTTCACACTCCCGAGTAATTAAACCAAACTAAAAAATTGATTCCCTAAACAGTCAGTTGCATGTGGTACTGCTCTATGTTCAGCCCACTCATCTTGACGAAAATGCAATACAAAAAAAATTGGGTGCATTTCTGATCCCAACTGAGTTATGACATGTGATAATTTCAAACTTATTTAATCCATATAATAGGAGAACAACATAATTCATATTTATTTCGGAGTATGCTAATATTATTTGTATGTTATATTGCACCAGTTTTTTTTTTTTTTTTTGTAATTGCATCTCATCATATGTACGGATTACGCATAAACATAACGGACACAAAATTTATGTGACTTCCTCATTCGACATAAATTATTATAGTTCTCGATCAGAATCAATATTCTTATTAATTTGTGTTTTGTTAACCCGCCATAGCTTTATATGATGCAAACTATATATAGCTTAACTCGAATACTCGGACAAATGAGAAATTAACGGAACATCCTCAAAGTCAAATACACATATTAACATTAACAAGTAACATCATACAATTACAAATAAGTAAACTTTTTGTATAATATTTATGCATGATTCTGATCGGTCAAAAGGAGGTGGCGGCAGCATATGTGGGCTGGCAACATAATTATATTGATTTATAATTGGTCAACGAGTTCCGGCTCCATATATTGTTAGGCTACAGCCACATGAAGATTATATAATGTATTAAACACTGTATATGAAGATACATATAATTAAAAAAAAAATGAGAGGAGGGGAGTGGTATAAATAAATGATGCTCCGAGCTAGCTATCCAGATCTCTATCCCATCATCAGTCATCACTTGCTAACTAGCTAGAATCAATCGAGATTGCAAGTAGCCCAACAACACTAGAATGGAAGATCATAAGCTACTAGAAGTTGGTTGGTGGTGGTTGCAATCTGTTCCAAAGCATTGGTCCTTGGCCACCCCAACAACACTAGTGCTAGTAGTGATCATATTCACCACCTTCCTCCTCAAAAGTTCACCCAAAAAGAAGACCAAGTCTTCGCCGTCCGCACGGCCGCCCCCAGGCCCATGGAAGCTGCCGGTGATCGGAAACCTACACCAGATGGCGGTTGGGTCGCCGCTCACGCATCACCGCCTCCGGGACCTGGCCAGGCAGTATGGCCCTCTCATGCAGCTCAAGCTGGGCGAACTCTCCGCCGTCGTCGTCTCCTCCCCAAAATGGGCCAAGCAGTTCATGCAAACCCACGATCTCAACTTCGCCACCAGGCCCTTCCTCCTCGCCGCCAGCATCATATTTTACGACGGCCGGGACATCGCCTTCGCCCCTCACGGCGACTACTGGAGGAAGATGAGGAAGGTTGTTTCCATGGAGTTGCTGGGTGCCAGGTACGTTATTGGATTTGGTTTGTTGTTGTTAAAAGATAGATCATATAATATATGATAGACCGTTTGTTGGTATGACTTGAATCAGACTATCTGATTACCATTGAAAGTACTATAAATATTTATGATATTTCTCTGTAATCCGTATCTTCTTAAAATATAGTGAAACTGTCTCTCTCCTGTCCGTATCTAAATCTGCGTGTCTTGTTCGTTTAATGCTTTCATTTTCTTACTATGCCGATCCTATGATTTCTAGATCCGTAGAAACAGTCGTGACATCAACTAACTTAATTGTTCCCATGCATGCACAAACTCTACGTACACCCAGGCGCGTGAAGCTGTTTCGGCCTATCATGGAGCGAGAAGTGAAGAAGCTAGTCGAATCAATCTCAGCAGGCGGCACGGCGGCGCCGGTGAACATGAGTCGGATGTTCGTCTCGCTGGGGACAACGGTCACATCTTGCGTGGCCTTCGGGAAGGCGCGGAAAGACGACCACCAAGTGGAGCTGCTGTTGCCCTTGATAGACCAAATTATGGAGACGCTGGGAGGCTTCAGCCTGGTGGACCTCTTCCCTTCCAGTAAGCTCGTGGGCCTGCTCACGGGGGCCCATTCCAGCCTCAGGAAGGTCCACGCAGCCGTCGACGTCATCCTCGAAGCCATAATCAGCGACCACGTGGCACGAAGGTCCACATCATCATCAGCTACGAATTCCAAGAAAGACGGCGACGGTGAGGATGTTGTGGACGTTCTCCTGAGTATCAAAGAGAACAACGACCTCGGAATCCCTTTCACCAACGAGGAGATCAAAGCTCTCATCCTCGTAAGTCCGATATACTGCACGTGCACTTTTGTCACATACAATTCATTTTGAGAACCATTTACAAACAGTAACGCTTATGAGATTCATTACCTTATGCAGCAAATATTCCTCGGTGGGACTGACACGTGGACCGTGGCAGTGGAATGGGCAATGTCGGAGCTAATGAAGAACCCATGGGTTATGAAGAAAGCACAAGAAGAGGTGCGGCAAGTGTTTAATGCTAAAGAAAAATTAGGAGCTGCAAATGATCAAGCGTGGATGGATCAACTGCCTTATCTACAGCTAGTTGTGAAAGAAACTTTCAGGCTGCATCCTCCCGGTCCTCTACTAGTTCCAAGGGAGAGTCGAGAAACGGTCGTGATCGATGGGTATCAGATACCGGCTACCACCAAGGTCATCATCAACGCATGGGCCATCGGTCGAGATCCCCAACACTGGACCGAGCCCGAAACTTTCCGCCCAGAAAGGTTCCTCGATAGCTCCGTGGACTTCAAGGGGATGGATTTCCAGCTCATCCCGTTTGGAGCTGGCCGAAGAGCGTGTCCGGGAATACACTATGGGATCTCCATCATCAATATCGTCCTCGCGAATTTGCTTTATCACTTCGACTGGGAGCTTCCTGACGGGATTACCCACCAGGACTTCGACATGTCCGAGAAATTTGGCGTGGAGGTGACCAGGAAAAACGACCTGCTCCTCATTCCCGTTCCATACCACACCACCCAGAATAATTAGTAGCTATCACGAATTAGCCTACCGATTATGATATTCCGCCTTGATTAACTTACCTTTGCCTTCTCCATGCGTCTACTTAATTTTCTGTCTTGTCTTTTGTTTTTCTTTTCCCCATATGAATAAGTGAAGATCTATATGAATTGATTTCTTAATTGAATGGAATCTGCTCCTCTCTTGAACTATTAATATAGCTGGAGGATGGAATAGTAAGGGAGAGGAAGTAATGGGTTATCTAATATAATATACTTAATCTATATGCTACAGTGGTTTATAAGCGTGCTTTTGTATTCGGCATCTTTAATCTAACTAGTTCATGACAAAGTAATTTTAGATGGAATTAGTAACCACTAAAATAAACAATTTATATATAGATGAGCTTTTTTATTCGGCATATTTCGGTACCCGATCTGATAATACTGACAATCGTCTTGACAATTCCAAAGCTAGGGATTATTACCCATATCTATAATAATAGCTAGTGGGGAGACAGATGGGTTGTTGGGCAGCTCTTAATTACTAATTAAATAGCAAAGTGCTATTTATATAAATGTATAGAAGTATGGTTGATGATCATGTGCATATATATTATTTGTTTCTAAAAAACAGCACATTATTTTGACAATCTAATTCGTTTTAAAATGATTATAAGCAGTGTGATTCTAAAAAAAATTATTATAATTTATAACATTTCATTCTAATTATGAACAAGAAGATAGAAATATGAACCTGTACATGAATTATGTAAAACTTACATGTATTGTTACCATTTATGAAGTTGGCTAGATATACCATTATTCTGACAAATTTATTTTGAAATATGTTACTATTGACTAATTGAATAGTGCATAAATATTTATATATGAATTTTACAATACTTTGTATTAATATTTTCACAAACAAGGATATGGTCTAATGGTAATACCATATGCCCTTAATCATTTAAGTAGTGCATTAAATCACAGAAATGTTAAAACCTATATCACCCTTACTCAAAAAATTAATATTTTCTTTTTATTTTCTTTTTGCAAACTTAACTTATACTTTATTATAAAATCGCCTGACCATAATATGATAATAATAAAATCAAGTTCTGGGCTATATATAGGTGCGAAATAATCCACCGACAAGTAGCCACAAATCTAAACTTCAGAACCTTACCGCTTATCTCTCACCCAACCAAGATGGATAGAGAAGCAATGGGAGAGGAAGTAGAAGTTACATCCATCAGTAATGGTCAATCATTTCATCATCTCAATTAGTATTAATTACTACGCTACCATCTTCATCAGATCGATGCATGTTGTGATCTGTGTATGAATACTAATTGGGATGATGAAAGAATAGACCATGCTCTGGTTCATCAGCGGCAATACTATACTGGCTAGCTAGGGAATCTTTATCTGGTAGCATGTTCTTCATTTCTTGTTTGCAGTTTTACTTCTTCTCAACATGATTTGCTTAGCTTGTTTCCTATAGATTAATGCAGGCATCTTCAAACTATAGGAGCTAACCGTTTATATATTTCCTGTACGTGGTAATGTTGATTTGAGACAAGTTTCTAAATTCAAGGATGCAGTTCTCTTTTGCATTCGGTTGACCGATTTGCGGTTTCGAGTTCGATCAAGTGATAAGGGATGAGGTTTGGTCAAAACTAGCTCTTTTGTGACCTTCTGGCTTTGATGAGTTTTTGTAGTGGAATTAGAAATGCACATCCCATTTCATCCTAAAAATCACTGTATTTTACTGTGCACAAAATCCATTTATATATATACCACAATTAATGCATCTATTTAATCCTTGCAACTTTCATAACTCATAAGCCACTGGGAATTTTTTTATCGATAATAGTGACGATATTTATTAATGGTACACTGGTGCTACAAATTTGATCTCATAGGATAAAAAGAAAGTGATGCAGAATTAATTGAAGCAAGTTCCAGGCAGCTGCTAATTAATTACTAGCTAGGCGCTCCTCAAATTGTAGCCACCGTCGACGATGAGGTTCAACCCACTCACAAACTGCGACTCATCGCTGGCGAGGTAGAGAGCCGCCTCGGCGATGTCGTTCTCGTCCAGCAGCAGACCTTTCAACGCCGACTTCTGAGCATAGAACTCCTGAACACCCTTCCGGTCCAACCCGAGCGCCTTCATGGCCATCGGAGTCGGGACGTCGGCGGGAGAAACCGCGTTGACCCGAATCCCGTACTGCCCCAGCTCCACGCACAGATTCTTCACCAGCCCCTCCTGCGCGTGCTTCGAGGCCGTGTACGTGTGAGCGAACAGCCCAAACGTGTCCGTCACCACGCTGGGAGTAAACAAAATGGTCCCTGTTTGTCGAAATAATCAATTAATCTCAATAACTCGATCGCGAATTGTTAAAAAAAAAAAACAGATTCGATAATAATAGACCTTATACCTTTCTTTTTCGGGATCATCACCCTGGCCGCGTGCTTGGCACACAAAAACCCGCCCACCACGTTGATCTCCAGCACTCTCCTCAGCTCCTCCGCGTCCACCGTCAGGATCCGGTGCCCGGAGCTGTCCCCCGTGACCCCGGCGTTGCTGTACATGATGTCCAGCTTCCCGTGGGCCGAAACGACGGCGTCCACGGCGCTCTCCACGTCGCTCTCCTTGGTGACGTCACAGCGGACGAAGGAAACGGGGTGTTGGGAGTTGGAGCTCGCTTCTTTAGCGACGGAATCTCCCAGTGAGGATTGGACGTCGGCTATCACGACTTTGGCGCCGTTCTGGGCGAACAGCCTGGCCGTGGCGGCGCCGATCCCGCTTGCTCCGCCTGTGATCAGTGCCACCTTCCCTGCTAACCTGCACACAATGTTAATTAATTAAGCGGATTGATCATTGACACTAATTACGATCAATGAATCGCTCTTTCACTAATTATATATGAGGACTGACTATATTTTTACCTCCTGGAAACGGATTGTAGCACGGAAGACATTATTGATTTATCAGATGTGACAAGTGTAGAACTGTGGAAGCCTTGGAATGGATTGATTGCTATTTGCTAGTTACTACTTAACGATTTGTCTCAGTGAAACGGAATTATATATCAATCCTTATAGCTCTCCACCTGCCGGATGTATATGCTTATAATATATGATCAATTTTTTCTCGCATCGCGCCAACTTGTTGACTAGGTACAAAATAAATTCAAATCTTGGGAACAGACAAAAGACCAGATTTCTCAGGAAGGATCATCACCGTGTGGGGTGTTCTATATATTTAAACTAACTAATTAATCAATTGGTTATAAACAATGTGTTTCATGCAATGCACTGTTTTAGAAACTCTTTAACTTACCATCCGGTTGGACCTGAAGTATCAGGTAGTGGATATTAAACCGGTAGGCAGTCTTAGCGATATAACAGTATTGAACTACGGTTATACCATGATTTTAGTATAAAATACTCTATCACTGACTTTTTCTGTATAACGTCCAATATTATTTCACAATCATTGGTTTCGTGTGGAGAAGTATTATAGCGCCATTATTAATTTTTCACCATTTGGGATTATATAAGGCTCATCCCTTCCTGAATAATATACTTCGCCATTATTAATTTTACTGAAATTTTTAGATTTAACTCGTTATTATTTAGTAGAAGGAAAGTGATAACTTTGGGGTAGTAGATGTCCGGTTACCGGTAGCCAAATTTAGCTAATGTTAACCGAAGATTGAACAATTAGTAACCAATGGTTAAACAGTAACAAAGTAACCGATTAAAGTCATCCTCATAGTTAGGACTGAAAATTATGTGTCTCGATGAGCCGCAGGTATATGCCAAAAATAATTGGAAGTTTGAAGGCATCGGTCATCCATCTGATTAAGACTCTCTTATTCAAATCTAATCTGGTTGTCTGTGAGGATAGTAGTTTTTCATTAATTAGCAACAAGTCAACAACCCATCGTTTGTCTCATCGATCACTACACTAGCTATGACATATATATTTATAAAATCCCAACCCAATATTTTCCTACAACGACTGCTGCACGCGTGAGCTTCTTATAAGTGTGAAGGAAAACGTGATGAATTTAAATGAGTATTTGACTTTTTCAGGGGTGAACGAAATCCGTTTAAAAGTTAGAGCTCCGATTTTTGCGGGAGGAATACCGAGGAAACCCTAGGTCGACCTTCGCTGTTTGTATTGATGGCGGCGTCAACGCCGTCCGGCCAGCCGTCGCCCACGGGAAAACCACCGGATGGAACGAGTGGAGCGAGGCGAACGGCTCTGGGGTCTTCTTCTCCGGACGGCAAAAGTGCTCGTGAGACTTTTCAACCAAAGAAAAAAGTAAGGGCTATGGACGTAGAAACAGAGATGACTGATGTGAGTCCTGACGCCGGCGGTGAAGAGGTACCGGACTCGCAACGGAAGGTGCAGCAGGGGGAACCAGGACAGAAGGCACCTCGATCAGCCTGGCGGGGAGGGGAAGCACGACTCTTCAGTGATGTCCTGAAAGATGGGGGCTGGTACGTGGCTGAGTCGGATACTGAAGATATACTACAACAAGAACGAGAAGAGGATGATGTCGTTGATGAGGAAACTTACGACCCACGCTGTCCACCGGCTTTATTCACGGCTGCCCAGAAGAACAAGTGGAGACGGGAATGGAGGTCAGCTTTGGTGGTCAAAGGTCTGGGGAAAAAGGTGGCGTATCTGCCGCTTGCAAAACGTCTGAATTTTTTGTGGGCAAGGAATGGCGAGCTTCAGATCTCTGACATGAAGAATGGATGCTTCCTGGTACGATTCAGAAGCCATAAGGATTATGAACTTGCCTGTTCGGAAGGGCCGTGGTTGCTAGGAGACACATACCTGACTGTGTTTCGTTGGTATAAGGGTTTCAACCCGTGGAAAGTAGAGGTGAAGTCCACGCCTGTGTGGGTCCAGCTGCCGGACCTACCTATCGAATTTTTTAACGCAGAGGCTGTTACAATTATTGCTCAGTTGATTGGGCGGCCAGTTCGTGTGGATCGTGCAACTGAGATGGGTGCAAGAGGAAACTATGCTAGAGTTTGTGTCGAAGTGGACCTCTCTCGCCCATTACTTTCACAATACAAAGTTGAGGGAACTACCTATCTAATTCAGTATGAAGGCTTGGAAGACATATGTGGGGAATGTGGAATGTATGGGAATAAAACAACCTCATGCAAATGCCATGCAATGGGTGAAGAGGACAAAGAAATGGAGGAAACTGTAGTACCGGAAACCCAAGATGCGAACCCAACTGAAGGCCGGGTGTACGGTGAGTGGATGACGGTAAAGAAGAAGGTGTGGCAGCCAATGAAGCGGGTGAGTAACTCTGATGGCAGGAGGGAAGAGGTGGTAAGAAGAAATAGATTTCATGTCCTAAACGAACAAGAGGGTTGTGAGAATGATGGTCGGACTGAATTAATGGCAGAAAGGGAAAGGTCGGGTGGGGAGGAAGTGAATCCTGGTGTACAGACCAGCGGTTATAATGAACAAGAGAGGGTAATGGAGGGGAAGGGAACAGAGAGGGGACTTACAAAAAATGATGGGAAACAGAAGATGAGTAGTGATACGGCGAAAGGTGGGAAGGAAAAGGCTGGGAAACAGGTCAATGTGGAAGGTGCTCAGAAGGCGAAAGTGAATAAGGGTGGTAAAACCCAAGTGACTCATGGCAATGGAAATAGCTCAAAAAGAGGTAACCAAACAGCTGATGGTGCGGGGAACCTATCCCCTTCTGGGAATAGATGAGACTGTTGTGTTACAACTGTCGCGGGCTGGGGAGCAAGCGAGCAGTTCGTGCTTTACGGTCGCTTTTGCGACGTTACTCCCCAAATGTTGTTTTCTTGTCGGAAACAAAACAAACAAAAGAGGAAAATCGTGTAACTCAGGTGGAAATGGGATTCGAGGAAGGGGAAGCAAGTTCGGTGGACATGTCGGGGGGCGGTCGTGCGGGAGGTCTGGGAGTTTGGTGGCGAGAAGGCATCAATATCGACCTGATGTCTTTGGACCGTAACCACGCTGATGTTAGGATCACGGAGGACGAAGGGGGTGTGTGGAGATTCACAGGAATCTATGGGTGGTCGGAAGACTCGGAGAAGTGGAGGACTTGGGACCTGTTACGAAGGTTGGGGGGGCAGTGGGATGGTCCGTGGCTGTGCGGCGGAGATTTTAATCAAGTTCTACGCAGTCAGGAAAAAAACGGTGGTCGAGGGGCCCCTGATGCAGGGATGATGGCTTTTGAGGATTGTCTTGATGAGGTTGGGTTAGGAGACCTGGGGTACAGTGGCTATCCATTTACGTGGGAGAACAGGCGAGTAGGTGCAGCTCATATTGAGGAACGTTTGGACCGATTCGTGGCAACAGAAAATTGGTCGGGGCTTTTCCCAGGAGCACGAGTTCTGAATCTCGAGAAAGAACGGTCTGACCACCGCCCGATCATTTGTGATACTTGTGGCGAAGCTGACGAGGAGCCCAAGTGGGGGTGGTCTTTCAAATTCGAGCCCTACTGGGCAAAGCATGAAGACTGTCACCGTGTGATTGAGAAGGCATGGTCAGATTGTGGGGGAGCGGATTTACTTACAAAGTTTCTTTCTTGCAGGGAAAGTCTAAGCTCGTGGAGTAAGGAAGTTTTCCCAAACTTTGGGCGACAGCGCCGGAAAATTAAGAGAGCTCTGGCTGCGCTGGATTGGAGACCTCGCTCGGAGCTGGTAGTCCAACAGCGAAAACAACTGGAGTTGGAGCTTGAGGAACTGGAGGCAAATGAAGAGCTGTATTGGAGCCAAAGGTCTAGAGCGGATTGGTTGAAGGGTGGTGACAAGAATACAGCTTTTTTCCATAAGAAAGCTTCGGCGAGAAGGAGGCGCAATACAATTCGCAAGATTAAGGATGAAGGAGGGCAATGGCATACAACCCTTGAGCAGATTTTCTTTTGTTTCACTAATTACTTCTCTAATCTGTTTACTGCTAGTGATGCTCCGCAGGCTACCCCGGTCCTGGATTCCATTAGGGCTTCGGTAACTACGGAGCAAAACGAGATGCTGCTGCGTCCGTTTGGGAGAGAAGAAGTGGTCACAGCACTGAAACAAATGGGAGCCAGGAAAGCACCGGGAGCAGATGGATTATCCGTCCTCTTTTACAGAAAATATTGGGATATTGTTGGAGATGATGTTGTGAAGGTGGTGTTGGAAATTTTGGAAAGTAGGGTGATGCCGCAGGAGTTGAATCACACTCTTATTGCCCTTATTCCGAAAGTGAAGTCGCCTACTAGTCCTCAGGAGTTTCGACCTATAAGCCTGTGTAATGTTCTTTATAAGCTGGTCTCAAAAGTGTTGGCAAACAGGCTTAAGATGGTACTGGACGATGTTATCTCGCCGGAACAGAGTGCCTTTGTCCCGGGTAGAGTTATCACGGATAATATCATGGCAGCTTTTGAGTGCTTTCATACGATGAAGAAGAAGAAACAGACTGGACCAGGAATATTTGCCGCCAAGATTGATATGGCGAAAGCGTATGATCGAGTGGAGTGGCGCTTTCTGGAGGGGGTGATGAATCGAATGGGCTTTGACTCGCGGTGGATTGAGCTCATCATGATGTGTGTGCGTACCGTCTCCTACTCGGTTCTTGTTAATGGGCACCAGTCCGAACGGTTCTCCCCAGCGAGAGGACTAAGGCAAGGAGATCCTCTGTCTCCCTACCTCTTCCTCTTTTGTGCGGAAGGGCTCTCGGCCATTACCAGACAGGCAGTAAGTGACCGCAGGTTGCATGGTATACAGGTGGCCAGAGGTGCCCCAACGATTAGCCATCTTTTCTTTGCTGATGATTGTGTTTTCTTTGGGAGAGCAACAACACAGGAAGCAGATACTCTGAAGAGCCTCCTCCAAGGGTATGCAGCAGAATCAGGCCAGGTCGTAAGTTATCCAAAATCAGCGGTGTCTTTCAGTGGTAATGTAAAGATGCATATGAGATTGATGG